GCCGCAGAGGTTTTCACCAGGCGCACGCAAATATCGGCGACGCGAGAGGTGTTACCCATGCGGCCGAAAGTAGTAAATGCGCGGTTTAGGGCGTTGTGGGACCAACGAAAGGCCTGTACGACCACGTCAAGCTGCTTCGCCTGGGCGATGGGGTCAACCCGCACAACTTTGACCTGGATGAGGTTGTGGGATCCCTCGACCCAGATGACGGCATGGCGACCCGGCGTCCAACCGGCTTCGGATGCCATGTCCGCGAGGCGGAGCCGCAGGCGCATGGGAAACCACCTTGGGACAACAACCGTAGCCGAGATGTTATGAGACCGACGGTCGTCATCAGCCGTGTTAACCGCAGCCAGGGTGGCGCATGCTGCACTGCAGAGCTTAGCCAGCTTGTCGCGAGCCGCAGCGGGGTCCAGGCTGTAGTTGTTGAAGGCACCCAGACGGTCCGCGAACCAAGCGCGGTCGGAGTCGGAGGCCTTGAAGACTTCGAGAGGCAACAGACCCTCTTCAGGGTGCATTGGCAAGAAGCGCTTAACAAGAGTCGCCAGCTCCTCCCGGGCTCGCAACGAAGCCGGGGGCTCCGAAAAACGCATGGCGCAGGAAACATTACGCGAGAGCGCGCTGAGATGATCTCGTATAGAGAGAGATCAGCCAGGGGAAAAGACGCGATATGAGAGCTGAAGGATACCGCTTCAGGGCACCCCTCAAACGCCGCGCGCACGCGCTGAACCTGATTACGCCGCGTTTGAAAGCCCTAGCACCATACCGTAGATAGGGGTGGGTTGATCCCGGGGCGTGACGAAGGCAAAATGCGACACCCTGAAAAAGAAAGCCGCCGTGGTATTAACCACGGTGGTGCGCGGAACGCGAGACTTGTGCAGGATTTCCTGCGGGTTCTCGAGGGCTTGACGAGTGGGCTTAACATCGTAAACCCAGACGAAGTCCTTGACCGAGACCAGAGACTTGTTGTAGCCTCTGCGCCCTGCAGTCACCTCAATCGCGAATTGATCGAGGATGATGCAGTGAAGATCGCGCCGATCCGGGGCGACGGTGAAGAAGTCCTTTGCCTCGAGGATCACACCGGGGCCCCAACCGGTAGAAACGACCTGATATAGCACGGGGCGACAGCCGTTACGCACTGGAGGGGCCAAAACGTAGGGGATGGCCCGAGGGAGAGGTTGGCTGGACGTCGGCCACGTCGACGTCGACGTAAGTCCTGCCCAGCACTTCCTCAAGGACGCGTTCGGAGCGCGAACGAAAAGCAACTGTGTCCTCCAAGTGCTGGAGTTCGAGAAAAGGAACCGACGTTGGCGGCTTCTTTTCATTGAACACCACACGGGGGAACAAGGACTTATTGAAGCGCAGCGACATATACCCACAGTCGGGCAGGTGGCGGTATCCCTCCGTGTTCAGGTTATTGTGAACTTGCGGGGGGTTATCGCGAACCATGCGGATCGGCCGTGGATTAACGAAGCGCGCCCACGGGTGGCGGTGTATAAGGTAGTGGGAGAACCCTTTTGGGGTTTCCTCCGGCAGCTGACTGGTGTCAACCTGGGGTAGCGAACCAGCGCTGGTACGCGCAGCGCTGCGACCACGGCCGCGACTAGCTCTTGATGAGGCGGCCCCACGGGCCGGGGGTTGGGAAGGACCGGACCTGGATGTGGAGGGACCAGGCCTTGCGGTCGCTTTGGCACGGCCCCGCATTGATCCCCGGGTAGGATTAGCCGGTGGTGGGGAGCGGCGCTCGGCTGCGGCTGCCGCATAATTTGCGGGAGCCCTGCGACGACCGGATGAGGACCGCTGGGTCTTTGCCAAGGGTGCGGAGGGAGAAGCCGCCCGGGCGACGCGACGCTGGACCGGAGGGGGATCTACCATAGCCAACTGCTCCATTGATGCGGTCATGCTGCGAAGCTCCTCGCCGCCTGCACTAAGATCCTGGCTGCTCAGCGACCTGTGCGCTGAACTCGACGGCAGCGACGAGTCCGTTGGAGTGGGTGATGGGGTGCGCCGTGCACGCGAGCCACCAGGAGTATCCGAAGGCGGGACTTCAGACGGCTGCTGTTCCA